TAAGGATGGTTTTGAACTCTATATCCAATAGTTTGCTTTGCTCCATTTCTGTCATTTGTGACCTGTTTCTTTGTCTCCGCATTTTTTATGCTTCCCTGTGTTGATAGAGTGGCTTTGTGTGCTAGGTGTCCTATAGGGCCCAGTGTCTCACCCTCCCCAGTTACCTGAGGTGGACACTCTTGGTGCACCCCTTTGTGGGCTTTGTGCACAGTCTTGTAGTTAATCCTTGATTGTTGTAGGTATCACTGGGAGGAATTGACTTCCACGCCAATTGGCTGTGAGAAATAGCTAAGCCAAAATGGTTAGGGCTGTTTTTGTTTTTTGATAAAACAATTCCCTAAAAACTTAGAAAGTTTCTAGTCTGCTTTCTTAAATTATTATCATGAGTAACCAGAAAGATCTTGTCAAGGCATAGTTTTTATCAGAGAACCCATCTTCACTTGCTGGTTTCTGTGTTCTTTCTTTCCCCTGAGATCTTAAAAGAATGGCTTGATGGGATGACAACAGTATTTATCTGACCTTCTTCCTCAGGATGGCTCCCATTACTTGGCAGAAAATTCTTAAGGGAAGGTTCATGAAAAAGGTTAAGGACATTTTAACAGCTTTCTCAAACCTTTACTTAAGGAGTGTGGTAGTAGTTGACTTTCATTTCTTCAAGGCTCCAGATTTGGGACTTTTGTCAATTTTATTTATTTATTTTTGTAGACAGAACAATTCCCTAAGCAAAGCTATATATATATATATCTTTCCATCTCTGGATTTGTAAACCTTAGCCTGAGTGGTATTTGTCTTGTAGGATTTTGCTGAAAGAGGCAGAGGCACCCCCACATGCTAGCACTCTGAAGTTCTACCACACTTCCTTTGATACCCTTACTTCAGTTGGCATGAGGGCTCATGGCCTAAAGCCCTACCTCCTCAACTCAGCCCACTTCATATTTAAGATCCTTTTTCTTGCTGCACCTTACTTCTAGCTATCAGATTCTGTATAGGTCAAGATTCATGGCTGTAGGTCATAGAATCTTCTTTAGCTACTAAACCGAATGGGATTGATTATGGGAAATAGATAGCTCACAGAATTTTTGAGAGGGCTGAAGAAACAGAACCTAGGCTGAGCTTCTAGGAACTACATCACAAGAGAGGGCTGCCAAAGAAGCTGCTGCTTTTGGAATAATCAAGAAGCTGCCTGCCACATTGGGAAGCTGCCTGCTGGATTAGAAAGACATGAACAGTTGCCAGCTCCAGAATCACACCACTGCTGCCACGCTTTGTGTTGGCCAACTCGGCTCCAAGTGAAAGTGTCAAGTGAGTGCATCTGATTGCTGGACCAATCATACCTGGAATCCTAGCTGCAAGGGAGGCTGGGAAATAATAGTGTTGTTTAACTTTACCTCTGTAGTACAGGAATGCATGTTTCAACTTTTCAAGTGAACTAATCCACTGTAACACCTCATAATTTTACATTGTTGTTTTTAACATTA